CGTCCATTGCCTCTAAATAGGGCTAAAATTAGGTCTGTCACTTTGGGTAACCGCACCACTGTCGGACGTCTCCCGAGAGTGGACATCCATTGCCTCTAAATAGGGGCAGAGAAACGGCCAGCTTAAGACCTCCTTTAGATCCAGATATTCTGGCAAGCAGGCCAATGGGAGTGGCTTGGTCTGAAATGACAGCAGAGTTAAAACAGAGCACCAGCAACAAATAAATAAATTAAAAAGGAAAACTCAAAACATGGCACCTTTGTCTTTAAAGACAGCATTTTCCACTGCCTTCATTTTCATTATACTTATTATGTACTCATGTTGAAGGATTAATCTTGAGCTCTGAGCTGAAACCACAGAGAGTCTGACCCCAGCCTCAGAAACTCTGCACAGGAAGAGGAAGTTCTCACTCACATTATATTTCTGTGTCTCACAGTGAGACGCTCAGACAGCAGGAAGACATCATGGAGGTCACAGCGCTCTGCAGCCGACTGCGTGAGTCTCAGCTTTCTTTCAACTTTCATTTATTCTTTTATATTAACACATAGAGGCTGATTTACAGTTTTCTTTATTTGTATATCCAGTGACGTGTGTCATCATTCTGTTGGGTGCACATATTCAGAAGAGCTCTACGAAAAACAATGGTGGGTAGCAACTAAGATAAACTTTTTAAATGTTTGCATTATGCACTCCTCCAAACTGAACCCAAGTTACACATTTATATTATCCATTTATCTTTCTATGTCTCTGCAGAGCTAAATAATATTGAATATATTCTATATGTCTGTATTTGTTTAACCTGAATAGAAAATGTTTCACATTGTGTAAAGTAAAATCTTACCTTTTTGAATGCCATAATTGGTACACCATACAAATATATACATACATATACAAAATAAACTGATTAACTTCAATTTATATCATCACTTTGCAATATTCTTTATTCATCAGATGTTTCATTGTCTCTATTTCTGTCCTCAGACACAGCTTTGCACATTGTCACAGAGAGACTGCAGCTCTTTGAATACGAGCCCTTCTCTTTTCTCTGCAAGGGTCTTGGCTCTGCGAGAGGGTTTAGGAACAACAATGAGTTAATTCAGAGTTGTTATAATAATTCTTCATCAACACTGAACTGCACCATTCCAGAGGCCTATGCACCGGACAGCGGTGTTTACTGGTGTGAGGATGAAAAAGGAAGGAAGAGCAACTCTGTCGACATCACTGTCACTGGTATGTTTATAATAATTAAGTTTAGTTAGCACATTAAGCTTTCTTAAATCTACACAGTTCTTCCTTTTTTGATTCACATATACCGTACATAGTTTTTCACAGTAATTAGTGTAATTAATTATCTTTAACAAATATATACTTTCATATCCTGTATATATCTTTTTTTAATCATAGTTTTAATATTTTTACAAATGTTTCTATATTTTCTCTTATTTTACTTGTTATTTTGCAATAATAAAGCAGTTTCCTCATATTTGAAAACCTACTTGGCAATAAACGTGATTCCGACAAATTTTGTTGTGATAGTGTGTTGGTGCAATGACAATATCTGATTAAACCCCAAAAAAGAAAAAGTCAAAGCCTGAATATTTGTAAAGAAAAACGTAATTTAACAGTTCTAAGCAATACAAAGAAAACCCCAAAACACTGTTCAAAAAGTCAACCATTGTCACAACATTTACAAAAAAATACCTGTCTAAGTTTCTATAATCTTGTCTATAATGACACTTTATTAATTGTCTAAAAATATAATAACAAAATGACAGGAATGACAATCAACCGTCGACGCTGCCACAGGGATAAAATAAACATGTAATGATGTTAACTTATATAAAGACGATACTATACATTACTGTATAATTTCTGATTTATTTATCAATGTGTTCTGTTTATTTCTGATATGTTTAATTCATTAAGTCCATGTTAGCACAATGCTTGTGTCTATATCATGACTATTTTGTAAATAACTTTGTATACATTTGTACAATAGACTAAACATGTTGTCCCAATGTTGTTCAGCTGGCTCTGTGATCCTGGAGAGTCCTGTGCTTCCTGTGTTGGAGGGAAAATCTGTGACTCTGAGCTGCAGAAACAAGACGACCACTTCCTCCATCCTCTCAGCTGATTTCTATAAAGATGGCCGCCTCATCAGGAGCAGCTCTACAGGAAACATAACATTCAAAAATGTCTCTAAATCTGATGAAGGACTCTACAAGTGCAGCATCTCCGATGGTGGAGAATCACCAGAGAGCCGGTTTGCTGTCAGAGGTGAGATACAAAAACTACAAAAGATGATATTTCCTTTGATTTTGCATGCTTGCAATCTACTTATGAAAAGCAACTGTTTTTAACATTTTTGTTCCTTTTACATATATACCGGACAATATTACAACCTCATGAAATGTTCTGCTATTTGGGCTAACCTCACACAGCTCGAAGTCAAATTTAAGAGCCGGTTTAATAAAATTGAAATTTATTGAATAACCCCCATAGGGAAAGTGAGATCTGAGAGCAACAGCAGCAATAAGAGTGAAACACAGGATAGGACAGGTAAGAGTTCATGGACGCATCTTATTAATAAAAATAACAAATATAACATTGAAATATATACACATAAGTGATTTTAATGAATCTGAAATAATATGAATGCATGTCTTTGCTAAAGTGTGGTTGCGCACATGCACTGCACATCTTTTAAAATGTTACAATGTGCAGTACTCAGATATTTTTCTTATCTTATACCGCTCTGTAAACATAACCTGTACAAGTAAAAGTGCTGTATTTTTTAATGCATAAGTATAAAGAGCAAAATCTAGTACGTATTTAAGTAAAGATACTTGTTAGGTCTCAGTTTTCCTATAATAAATATATTTTTGGAAAACAACTACTGATACCTATTTTAACTACTTTTTCACTGATGAATAATTTACTATTTATCGGTGTTATATTCTAAATATATAATGTGTTGCGTAAATTAACTCAAGTTTTCAAACAAATGCATAAAAAAGTAAAATATTTCCCTCTAAATTGTAGTAGGAGTATAAAGTTCAAATACCCCAGTAAAGTAAAAGTATCTTAAAGTGTACTTTTGTTCAGTACTTTAGTACATTTACTCAATGCTGTAACTAAGTTAGGAGGAAATGTAAATCGTCTATCATTTAAAAATGTGATTATGATGAATAAGATTATGTAAATGCTAACATGCTAACATTTTGTTTTTTGTATTACAGGAAGTGGAGACCTACCGAACAAAGGAATGCGTTATTTCCTCAAGTTATCCATCCCGCTGTTTACCGCTTTCATTATTTTCATTTTGGCGCTGCTGGTGGGAGTCCTTCGTATTAAACACAGAGGTATGAACATCTCAACACACGTAAACTTGCAACTACGTTGATAATAGCTTACTTACTTCTCAATGCAATGAGTGTCCTCACTTTTAATGTTAAGGAGCATTAAAGTAAGAACTTCTTGAAAACAAAACATCTATACAGAGATTTTACTTATAAAGACAAATTAACAAAATCATTAATTAATTATAAATATTATTTAATATCATAATAAACAATTTTTTCACAAATAACCTTTGAGAATTAATGTACTATTTTTTTCTTATTCTTTATGTATTTTAATACACATAAACTCAAATTAAATTAGAAAAATAAATGTTTATGTGTATGTATAATGTATACAAATCAATAAATATATACAGTTCTGTTTTCTGTCTGTTTGACAATGTTATACTAACAATAATGAATAGTAAATAGTAATTGTTTACAAATATTAAAAACTTTTTTTATAAACTTTAAATGCATTTTTCTTCTGCTGTGTTTCCATATTTTTGTTTTTCTATACATAAGATTCCTCGAAGACCCCAACAGCAGATTCACCATGCCCCGCCGAGGATAATCAATACGGTGGGTCATACAGTTCAAAACTGATCGCCAGAGAGTTAGGACTAAAATGTGACTGAATATATTTTGTAATGTGTTTCCAGTTACAGCCTGTGAAGAGGATGAGAGCGACGTCATGTACGCTCTCGTCGTCACAAAACCAAGACTTCACCAAGGTTTAAGTTCACTTTAAAATCTCATTTATATTTTATTTTTTATGATGTGAGCAACAAACAAATACTATTATATTTACTCTGTTTCTTTATTATGAACCCAGCTTAAAAGAACATACAGTATATACTGCTCACTCTGAGAGACAAAGGTTTACTTTGAGTGGTACTTAAAGATCGTTGTCACGTGTTGAAAGTGACAGTTGAGACGTGCAGAGGTGTAAATTATTTTAGCTCTCTCAGCGTTTCACACACTGCGTTTTATTTTAGACGTTGCAGACGCTGCTGATAATCTGAGCCTCAGCATCGAGACAGACCACAGCCAAAACCCACAAACTGAAGCAGGTGAGGGGGACTTTAAAAATAATTATTAGTCAACA